CATTTTGGTACAACAAAAAAGGATAGGGCTTATACAATTAATGGTAGGGCTTTGGGGTCTTGTAGAACAGAGCGACGTAGGGGTGCAGGTACATATTTCTTTGAAGTTGGTGTCACATATAGACAGGGTGGTTAAAAAAAGCGTTTGGCACATTTGACTTCACTGCTCAGTCCTTTGAGTATAGGAGTTGGGAAGTCATGTTGAGGTTGTACAGGACATTGGTGAGGCCTCTTCTGGAATACTGTGTCCAGTTCTGGTAGCCCAGTTATAGGAAGGATATTATTAAGCTGGAGAGGGTTCAGAAGAGATTTGCCAGGAATGGAAGGCTTGATTTATAGAGAAAGGCTGGGCAGGCTGAGACTTTTTTCACTGGAGCGTAGGAGGTTGAGAGGTGACCTCATACAAGTTTATAAAATAATGAGAGGTATAGATAGAGTTAATGGTAGGTGTCTTTGCCCTTGGATGGGGGAATTCCAAGACTAGGGGGCACATTTTTAAGGTGAGAGGAGAGAGATTTAAAAAAGACACAAGAGGCAATTTTTTTACACAGATGGTGATTCGCATGCGGAGTGAACTTCCTGAGGAAGTGCCAGATACGGGTACATTTACAACATTTAAAAGACATTTGGATAAGTACATGAATAAGAAAGGTCTGGAGGGATATGGGCCAGGAGCAGGTAGGTGGGACTAGTTTAGTTTGGTATTATATTTGGCATGGACTGTTTGGACCAAAGGGTCTGTTTCCGTGCTGTATGACTCTGTGACTCTATTTAAGAGGGATAGATAAGTGAAGCAGGAGGGGTAGCATTCATAATAAGTGATGGCATCAGTACATTAGTAAGAGAGGACTTTTGATCAAAGGATCAAGATGCGATCTTGCCTTGCGCACACCCTGTGCGATGTAACTTGTAGGTCTCTGTCTAGTTGTTTTTTCACCCTACGATCTGTTTTGTCCTTGCTTACTGTAATCTGCCTGTCCTGCTCATAAACAAAGCTTTTCACTATACTTCAGTACACATGACAATAACTCAATCCAAATCAAGTGTACTCAGTTTGGGTGGAGCTAAGAAATAGTAAGGGGAAACGAATATTGGTGGAAGTTGTTCACTGAATATAAAACTGTAATGGTAATGTTGAGCACAGCAGAAACTAGAGATGCATGCAACATGTGTAATTCGTGAACTCAAATTGCATGTAAACTGGGTTAACCAAGTCAGCACTTATGCTATGGGAATGAATTCCTTGAGTATGTACAAAGAATACGTCTGCAGCTGTATGTTAAAGAGCCAACTAGGGTTTGGGGTAGTTTGGATTTGGTGCGGTGTTATGAGAAAAGACTAGTTAATAAACTTGCTGAAAGAAAGCCTTTCTGAAAGTGACCATAATATAATAGAATTTCACATGTAATTTGAATGGGATACAATTCATTCTGAAACTTCAGAAGTCACACGACACCAAGTTCGGAGCAAAAGCTCGTGATTTAAATAAACCTGTTGGACAATGACCTGGTGTCATGTGACTTCTGACTTTATCCACCCCAGTCCAAAACTGGCACTTCCACATTCTGAAATTTTGTCTTAAATATGAGTAAAGTAAACTATGGGAGTATGAAGGGGGTAAGTTGTCTATGATGGATTGGAAAAATACGCAAGGATTTAATGGCAGACAGGCAATGGCTAGTAAAAGTGCAAACATCCAAAGGGCAAGGTGAATCAATCATGGTTAATAAGAGAAATTAAACATTACGTTAGATCAAAGGAAGTGACTTAGAAGTATAACTGAAATAGTGGTGAGGAGATGATTAGGACCAATTTACGCCTAGCAAAGGAGGGCCAAGAAACTGATACGTGAAATGAGAATATAAATAAGAGTTAGCAAGGAGCATAAAAGGTTGAAAAGCTTCTATCAATATGTGAAAGGAAAAAGCTTAGCAAAGATAAATGTGAAACTTTTACAATTGATGATAGCAGAATTTATAGTGGAAAAATCAAACAGTTACTTACCATCTATCTTTCCAGTAAAAATGAAAATCTTCTAGAAATATTAGGCAACCAAAGAGCTTGTGCAACAGAAGAGCTAAATACAAAAGACTCATCAAGTAGTCGTGGATGAAAAATTAGCTGGACTGAGAGTTGATAAATCTTCTAGACACACTGAGCTCCTTCCCAGGGTATTGGAGGTAGCAATAGAAGAGTGTGGATGAATTGGTAATTATCTTTCATAATTCTACAGGTTCTCAAAAGGTTCCTGTGACAGAATGGTAGGAAACATAACCCCACTATTTATGAAGGGAGGCAGTGGGAGAGTAGAGAACTACAGGCCCGTTAGCCTGACATACTTAGTGGGGAGGATTTTAGAATCTATTATAAAGGATTTGATTCTTGGATATTTAAAGGAGAATGATAAAACTGGGCAGTGTCAACATGGATTTACGAAAAAGAAAAACTTAACAATCTTGTCCAAGTTTTTTGAAGATTTTACTTGTGACATAGTCAAAGGAGAATCAATGAATGTACAACTTAAACAGTTAGATGAATTGACTAGAACGTAGAAGATGAAAATGTGAATAAGATAGAGAATATAGAAAGATAGAATATTTCTTAAACAGTGAGAGTTTGGGAAGTGCAGTTGTCCAGAGAGATCTGGGTGTCCTCGTCCATGAGTCACTATGTGTTAACATGCAGGTGCGGCAGGCAATTAGAAAGGCAAACAGCTTGTTGGCATTCATTTCAAGGATAGTCCAGTCTCGAAGTGAAGATGTATATTGAGACCTTACTAAGAATTGTATAGAGTTTTGGTCTCCTTATTTAAGTTGGATTTATTCGCCATATTGGGACTGCATCAGAGATTCACCAAATTAAGCACTGGATTAGCAGGATTGTCTTTTGTGGGAGATTGAGGAAACTGCATCTGTATTCTCTACAATTTCTAAAGATTTTAACGGCGCATATAGATAGGCTGATGACTCTCGATGCTTGGAGGATCATCTGAGGATAATAGGATCATCCTCATTTTAGTACGTCATTTAAGGCTGAGCTGAGGATGAATATCTTCATTTCAAGGTGATGCATCTTTGGAATTCTCTATCCCAGAGGGCTGTGGAAGCTCAATCATTGAGCAGGTTCAGGTCTTAAATGAACAGGTTTATGGAAATTAATGACATTAAGGGGAACAGGGATAGGGCAGGGAAGTGGCACTGAGGAAATGACCAGCCATGGTCTCAAATAGCAGGGCAGAGCCTATGGGCTGAATAGCCTATTCCTGTTCCTATGCAGACCTACTTCTCAGATGTCACTTTTGAAACATCAGCCCTTAAGAAATGCTAATATTGTTAGAACAGGTCATTATAAAATTGTTCACCAAACTTTAGCAGCTGAATACCTTCTTGGTTAGTGTAGTATTCTGATACTTTGTCTAAGCTTCACTCCATCTGGACTTCTATTATCTCTAGAATTGACATACTTTGCAGCGATTGGAATTTCTGTCTAATTTTCAAGTTTTGAGGCAGGCTTTGGGGGGCAGGATGGGTGAGATTAGTTGTGGGAATTTTAAGATGCCACACAAAGATGCAGTATTGTCATAGAACACGGAAACAGATCCTTCGGTCCAACTTGTTCCCCCTGACCAGTAATTCCAATCTGACCTCGTCCCATTGCCTGGGTTTGGCCCATATTCCTCTAACGCCTTTCTATTCATATACCCATCCAGAGGCTTACAAACCTTAAAGTTTGTGTTAACTTAGTCTCTCTTTTACGCCAGAAACTGCTTCCAAAGCAGAAAGCATAGAAAATTTGGAGAAGGAGGGGAGGGGAGGGGAGGGCCATGAACCCCAGGCCTCTGAGTCTTTACTTATCCCTTACAGTCCGTGGAATATGCGGGCACCAGCCCTCACTTACTGAATCAGCTCCTCATTCACTTCCAGGCTGAACTTCCGAACTAGCTCCTCCTGACACCAACGCAAAAGAGACTCCGTATCGCCACTCATCTTCCCTCCGCCACTACCACCTTCATTCTTGGAAGCAGCCATCTAACCGGCCCACGTTCACCCGGAAATATTTCACCCGAGCACACAACACACGTAAACGGTGCAGCCCTCGGCTATACCCACTACAAACTATACCGCCGGCTCTGCACTAACGTTCCGGTCACAAAGACATACAAGTGTTGACTGAGAGAGCCCTTCTCTCACTCAAACCAAGAACCTACATCCTCTGGCGAATGCCAAAGTAAATCAAAGGTACAACAACAATGTACAGTGCACTAAATAAATCAGTTTATTCTAACGACAGCGATAATTTTAGACAGGATTTTGATGTGTTATGATATTTCAAAAATATCACACTCCTTCAATACATGATTTTTGCTTTGGATGTGTCAGCAGCACTAACTATCATACATATTCTGAATTTTTAAAAAATTTTTAGAATATCCAAATAATCTTTCTTGGCCAGGACACTGCGGATATCTCTCCCTCTGTTCTTTCCTCACTAAAGTGCGATATAGGATCTTTTATATGCATCTGAACAGGTAGGCAATACCTCAGTCTAACATATCATCTAAAAAAAGTGGAGAACTGTGTGAATTCGTGGAAGAGTGTGTTCAAAATTCACTGAATTTGGACAACGTTGTATTTCACAGACACATGAATGTTGCTTAGAGGATTCAAAGCAATAAATCTAAACTCTTAATTACTAATACATGATTAACGTTAACTCTGTTTTTTCCTTCACAGATGTTGCCAGACCTGCTGAGCTTTTCCAGCAACTTTGTTTTTGTTCCTGATTTCTTGTACGTGTTTATTTCAGCATCTTCCATCATTCAGTGCAGGGGAATTTAATAGATACAGCTTATCTTCTGCAGCTTCCATATTTTTGTCAAACAGTTGCAAAAAGCACTTTTCACCTCAGCAAACTTGTTGCCAAGTTGTTTGCTAGTACAGTGAGAAAGACCTGCCTCTACTTTCCATCTTGAACACGACTGGATGTTGTTTACTCTTTGCCGTATTCAGCTGTATTGTTTGTCAACACTCCCTTCTTTCTGTCAGCCTGGAGTGGTCATGTTGATTGGGATGACAGGCCACCCTCAACTTTGTTGGTGTTTCCACAATGTACATGTTCAGTATTTGACCAATTTTAGATACCTTTTTAGTAGCTAGTTGATGGGCAGCAATTAGGAAGTACAGCATTCACAATGATCAAAAACATTTCCCTACTCTATCTTACCAGCAAATACACAAAAATTTTAAAGTTCAAACGTAAACACATTTGAATATGGACACTGAAATCACATGCCTAACCTATACTTCAACAATTATTTCCTGAAAAAAATACATTTAGTCGCTGGAGGATTCCCAATTAACTGCAAGCAGCTTATGAATTGGACAACCCTGCTGCAGTGTAGTATTGAGGGAGTGTTGCATTGTCAATGACATCACCTTAGCAGTAAGAAACGTAGAGAAAGCTGGAGAAACTCAGAAGGTCTGGTAGCATCTGTGGAGAGACAAACAAACTTAATGTTTTGAGTCCAGAATCACTCATCTTCAGCAACACTTTCACAGTGTTGTCCAATATATGAGCTGCTTGTATCTAATTAAAGTCAATGCATTGAAGTGTTGGGTGATACATTTTGGTAGAAAGAACATGAAGACATCTTGTAAAATAAAAGATGCTACCCTAAAAGGTGATACCGTCGTTGTCAGCAATCACTCACTAACGATTACGATTGACTACCTAGGAAATTCCTAACCAGTGGTCATGGGTTCTGTGGGTCCTTGCGTGGCTGATGAACCTGATCCTAGAACCATATCTCTGACCACACATTTGGCAGGTGTTTCCTGGAGGAAGTGGTCTTTGACTTTGAGACTATTGGCATTCCTTTCTCCAGTTCCTTTTCAGTACTTGCTCTTGCCGACGGGTGTCCTCCAGGAATTGTGTCCCTTCATACAGGAGTTTCCTCCAAGTTGATTTCTTCTGAGCGAAGATCTCCCATACGTTGTCATCTATGTTGCATTTCTTAAGCAAAGCCTTTAGAGAGTCTTTGGAACACTACTTTTGTCCTCTGTCATTCGAGTGCCTTCCTTGAGCATAGTCAGAAATCACACGACACCAGGTTATAGTCCAACAGGTTTATTTGAAAACCTGGTGTCATGTGATTTCTGACTTTGTCCACCCCAGTCCAACACCGGCACCTCCATATCATTCCTTGAGCATGGTGAAGAAGATTTGCTTTGGTGGTTGGAACTCAGGCATTGTAAGCATGTGGCTAGCCCAGTGGAGTTGGTTGGTGCTGTTGGCTGCTTCAAGACCACTTATGTTGGTACACTGGTCTTCCCAGCTGATGCAAAGAATCCGACTCAAACAGCGTTGGTTCTTCTCAAGGGTCTTGAGGTGGTGTCTGTATGGAGTCCAAGTTTCAGAGCCATATGGAAGAGTTGGAAGGATGACTGCCTTATACACAAGACTCTTGGTATCAACATGGATTATACAGTTATCGAAGACTCTCTTCCTTAGGCATCTGAAGACGGCGCTTACAGATTGGATGTGATGTTGAATGTCTGTATCGACGTCAGTCTTGATGAGAGGTAGCTTCCCAGATAATACATCATAACATTCTATGATTCTATGAATCTAGACTCCCGAGTAAGCCCATCATACCGATTTTATGACTGCTCAGAATGAAAATTATCCAAGAATCATTCCAAAACAAAAGTTCTCCCACGCTTCAAATCTCTCCTTTAGCCTCACCATCAAAAAAAGTTTAATTTATTTGCCATCTTATTATTCTTTGAGAAATGTAATTAAATATAAAATAGCTGTTGTTTACTTACCAACTGTTGTTACAGTAAGGGTGACATTGCATATTCCTCAGTAATTTTCTACAGGGGATTGGATGAATGATTACTTGAAGGAGAAAACTTTGCAAGGCTCTTGGGATATAGCAGGGAAAGTGAGACTAATTGGTTAGCTTTTTCAAAGAGTCTGCACAGGCACAGTAGGCCAAATGGCAGCATCCTTCTATGCTTAGAACAAACCAAAAAAGAAATAGACATTGGAGCTTTATGGTATGGTTTTTTTACCACTATTTCCAACCAAACTGCAATTTTCCTTCTTACTTTGCTGAAAATAATGTTTAAAATAAATATCAACAGGCAACACAAAGAAACTATAATATTACTTGCGGTGTCCAAGTGAGACCAAGATAACTGTCCAAAGAGAAGTCCTGAGAATGGGCAAAAATAAGGTAACTCCCACTGTAACGACTGCATCTGCCTTCGTTACCCTTACTTCAAGTTTAAAATGTCAGGTTTTAAAGATGGATGAAAATGTCTTTTCACTGGGCATTTTGTGGGTAATTGTTGTCAAGTATGCCCCTCTGGCCATTACAATTTATTTAATCTATCCTAATTATTGTAAAGTCCGTTTTTCTTTGGAGTGCATGTCAATGTGTTGAAAATTTAAAATGTGTTCTCACTCTCCCGGCCATTTCTGAACTTTCAGGTGAGCTTACTGAAAGATCAAGGTTTTTGTTTGTTGTCAGGGAGGATATCTGTTGTGAAATGTTTGTTTACCTTCCCTGCATGTCCCTAAGTCTCAGGTAGTAGCCAGTTATCAACCACAGTTGTCTTTTAAAAATTTCAAAGACAAATGTGCAAGTATATCCCAAGAGAAAGCTATCAATTAAAGATTGGGAACAAAGGACATAGCAGCAACAAAGAAATGAAACTAGGCGGACCACCTGGCATCAATCTAGGCATTGGAAAAGACAATAGCATAACTAATTATCGACCCTACTAAGTCTTCTTTACTAACATTGGGGGCTAGTGTCAAAATTGGGAGAGCTGTCTCACAGACTAGTCAAGCAACAGTCTGACATAGTTGTACTCATGGAATCGAACCTTACAGGCAATGTCTTAGATATCACCATCACTGTCCCTGGATATATTCTGTTCCACCAGCAGTAAAGACCCAGCAGAGGTGGTGGCACAATGGTATACAGTTGGGAGGGAGTTGCCCTAGGAGTCCTCAACATTGACTTTGGAGCCCATAAAGTCTCATGGCATTAGGTTAAACATGGGCAAGGAAACCTCCTGCTAATTACCATGTACCATCTTCCCTTACCTGATGAATCAGTACTCTTCCATGGTGAACAACATTTGGAGGATACACTGTGGGTGGCAAGGGTGCAAAAGGTATTCTGGTTGGGGGATTTCAGTGTCCACCAGGAAGAGTGGCTCAGGAGCAGCACGACTGATCCAAGGAAATTGCTGCTAGACTGGATCTGTTGAGGTGGTGAGGGAACCAACAAGAGGGAAAAATATACTTGACCTCATCATTAACAATCTGCTATCTGCAGATACATCTGTCCATGACAGTATTGGTAAGAGTGACCACTGCACAGTCCATGCGGAGATGAAGTCTCACTTTTACATTGAGAATACCTCAGTTGTATTGTGTGGCACTATCACTGTGCTAAGAGGGGCAGACTTTGAACAGATCCAGCAACTCGAGACTGGGCATCCATGAGGTGCTGTGGGCCATCAACAGCTGCAGAATTTTACTCCAGCATAATCTGCAACCTCAAGGCCTGTATATCCACCACTCAGCCATTACCATAAAGCCTGGGGGCAACCCTGGTTCAATGGAGAGGGCATGCCAACAGCACCAGGCATACCTGAGAATGAGATCTCAACCTGCTGAAACAACATGAGCTCCCAACTCCTTGACACAATACACTGACCAATAAAGGCAAGCGTATGAGACACCTTCTTTACTATCCTGTCTATCTGTGACTCCACTTTCAAGGAACTATGAACCTGCATCCCAAGGTTTCTTCATTCAGCAACACTCCCCAGTACCTCACCATTAAGTATATGAGTCCTGCCCTGATTTGCCCTACTGAAATGCAGCACCTCACATTTATCTAAATTAAGCTCCATCTGCCCCTCCTCGACCCATTTGCTCATCTGATCGAGGTCCCATTATACTCTGAGATAACCTTCTTCCCTGTCCACTACACCACCAATTTTGGTCCCATCTGCAACCTTACTAACCATACTGTCTATATTCACATCCAAACCATTTGTGTAAATGAGAAAAAGCAGCGGACCGAGCACCAATCTTCTAGGACTCCTCAGATACTGAAGCAGTTC